TAGACCAGCCACTTGGACTTGAAAAACAGAAGCCAGGCATCGTTCCCCATTATTCCACATGGAACATTCGCAATGCTCTGTCTCCTGCTGCCTCTAAACCACAGGTATTTCACGGAAGGTGAACTTAAACTATTAAAAAAACTACTGACCAGCATCTATAACTCACGTCGGCCTCGATCAAAGTAAGACTGATAACCAGGAGGCTCTGATAGACCAGTGGCCAGATGTTAACGCTTCTCACCCTCCAGAAGCCACTGGTGAGACTTCCCTTTCTTGTAGTTCCTTTACGTGACAAATGTATATATTCATATATATATTATATGAAACAGTAAGGTGCAAGGCTGACCAACTCAGAAAGGGAAGATAAGAAAAAAGCAGTCTACATGTTTCTATCTTCCGCTCGCCTCAGTGTCTCTCTAATACGCCATGGCCCAGGCCCCAATCTTCTTAGGAAGTCCCTACATTGAAATCATAACTTGCAAAGCACCCTCCCATCCTTTTTTTTATGTGTACTCACACATACACACGGGAAAGCGAGTATCACTACACCCCCACTTTACAGTGGAGGCAGAGACTCAAAGAGGCACTAACAGTGCCCCCCCCCCCAAACACAGTAATGAGTCTGGAACCTGGTCCCCTGACGGATAAGCCCTGGGCCTTTTCATTATTACTTTCCTCTAAACTGTTGGCAGGTAAAGCAAAACCAAAAAAAGAAAACACTACGCACTTCAGTTTATATTGCTTTTTTCTTTTGTGCAGTGGAATTTTTGCTTGGCAAGTGAAGCTTTGAAATAGCTGATTGTTACAGCAACAACAGGTATTTCAAAGTGAGGTTTAGTTGGGTTTAAGAAAACAAAAGTAAAGAGAACAGAGTCATGAATAGTGATATGTACAAAACAATAATAAATTAAAGGTCGGGGGGAGAAGGGGGGCTTGCCCCAAATGTTTACCTACCATTCACCTTTGTCCTGATACATCCCACCTCCACACCCAGCTCCCGGTTAATGAAGGTAATTTCGCTGATGTCCCTTGAACTGTATAATCTGTTCCACAAAAAACAAACCCCCAGTTTGTCTCCAGGCCATTTTTAAGCCCCTAACTCCCTGGTTACATTCAGTCTATGGAAAACATCTGCGGCAAAGTAAATCATCCTACCCTGAGCAAGACCAGGGTGTACTTTTTTTTCCCCTCTAAGTGTGTTTTGAAGTCCGGGTTGGAAAATTAGTGAAAATTGTAAATCTGTTTGCAAATCTGGTCATGTCTAACTCTGCGATTAGGGCAAAGATTCCAATTTAAAGTAAAACCGTGACAACCCCAGTTAAGCGTGTCCTCAGGCACTGCCGGCAGGGCAGTCCCTCACTTCCACGGGCAGTGGATTTATTACAGGCACCCGACACGTTCCCCATCAGACACCCCTGGAGTATTTATTTGAGACAGCAGGGTTCAGTCTGCACTTCCTCTGCAGACCAATATATTATTATAAATTGAGCTAAACTGTTTCCTTTTCATAAGTGCTATGAAGTTCAGAGCTCAGATATCAGCACAGGGCTGAGGTCCCTCCGTGGGGCTTCTGGTGCTATTTAGATTTAAAAATAAAAAAGGCAGCATTGCATGGGGTTGCTTTTATTTTTGTTTGTTTTTTTTAAGTGGAGAAGAAGGAAGATTTTAGATATCAAATATGATATCTTAATTTAAAAAATATCTCCTAAATGCAGACTTTGGGGTACACTATGCAGTGCTTAGCACAGTTCAGTAAGATACCAACAATGCCACCTGTATCTGAAGGCAAGAAATCAGGAGGGTTTATATGTTGGATAACAGCTCCTATAAAATTAATAACATAAATTTCTTTTTTTTTTTTTTTGAGACAGAGTCTCACTCCTGGGTAGAGTGCCAGGGCATCGTCACAACTCACAGCAACTTCAAACTCTTGGGTTCAAGTGATCCTCTTGCCTCAGCCTCCCAAGTAGCTGGCACTACAGGCACCAGCCACCACACCTGGCTAATTTTTCTATTTTTAATAGAGATGGGGTCTTGTTCTTGTTCAGGCTGGTCTCGAACTCCTAGGCTAAAGCGATCCACCTGCCCCGGCCTCCCAGAGTGCTGGGATTACAGGCTGAGCCACCATTCTGGGCCAGTAACACTAATTTCTTCACGTTCTCATGTTCAGTAGCTATAGGGACACTACGCATATTTAAAAACTTATATTCATTATAACATGTAAACCAAAAGAATAATGTATTTAACATTTTCATCAAGAATCTATTTCTCAAAACCTCAAAAAAAAAAACAAAACTTTAAGAAGAAATGGAAAAGGAAACAAGCAGAACACCTTTTTGTTTTTCTTCTCTTCCTGAACAACTAAGTCCTGAAGCCATGAGTGAGGCTGAGGCACTGTGCTGAGAGGGGAGAATGGGAAAGCCCAGCGCAGGGCCAGCACTCGGGTAGGGTGAGGCCGGGGGAGCACGGTGGCTGGACACAGGCCAGTGGACGCTGAGCAGCACAAAACAGCAAGATACGATCCACGCTTCTTGCCAGCTGCGTAACCATGGCTAAGTACCTCCATAAATTTAACCTCAATTTCTTCTTTTGCAATACAGCTAATATTTGCTTCTCGGGGTTGTTGAGGAAATTTAAAGAAAGTCTCACTTGTCATTAGTCCCCAATAAGTGTGGCTCACAATCATATTACTACGACCATTCCAGACGTACATATGTCTAGAAAAGCAGTGAAAAGGAATACAGTAAATCAGGCATGAACCTGATTTTTATATTCTTTCATTTTCTACTTGACAGGGTTTCTTTTCTCTACAATGAACACATATTGCTTTTTTAATCAGAAAAGAACACATAAGATGTTATTAAGTATATGGAACACAGCTGAACTTTCATAATGCACGTTTGCTGTATTATATACAGGAAAAAATTAACAAAGCTATTTTAAGGTACCATTCTGGCTCTCATTTCTTTTAAAAAAGCAAATTGCTAATAGAAATTCCTGAACAAAGTATCCAAAGGAAAGTGATTTACTGGCTAAAATTAACACCTATTCAGACTCAAGACCAATATTCACATTTGGGTGGTACAGGGAAAAAATGAACCAATAATCTGTTTACCTATAAATGGCACTTAATGAGAACACAGGGACTTCAGAATAGAAACTTAGTTTCTGTAATAATAATTTATTGTATATTTCAAAGTAGTTAGAAGAGGAGATTGTGATGTTCTGTCGACGAACACAAGATGAATGTTCGAGGTGACGGACACCCAGCTACTCGATTTATCATTTATTACACACTGTATACAGATATCAAAGTATCATAGATGGAGAGGAAGAGAAAGGGAAGGAAGAAAGAGAGAGAAAGAGGAGGGAAAGAAGCAAACTTCATTCTGGAGGTCAGGCAGAGGAAGGAGAGAGGAAGAGATGACCCTAACACCAAAACCACTGCCCCACAGAGGTTTCAGTGCACTGGACTCAAGTCAACAGGGTCTATTCAGCACGGGAAAACACCATATAGGAGGCTACCGCCCATCTGGTCCCTGTTCTGCCTCATACGAAGTGACCTTGGCAAAATTACTTAGAAATAGAACCGTCTCCACCATCTCCCTCACAAAGTTACTTGGAGGTTGAGATTGCTTATGAGAAATTAATGTGTATACGGTAAAGCCACCTGCCAATGGAAGGCAAGAGATTAAGGGCTTGCTTAGATCAGTGTTCAAAAAACGCAGGCATCACCCCAGGGAAAGAACTCAGGGTTAAAGGGGCCCTGCGTAAAGTGTCATTGAACCACGCCGTGAGACAGAGTCTCTATATGATAATCTTACAGTTCTCCTGCAGACACTGAGCAGAAAGGCTCAGGTCTGTGCCACTGCACAGTTATCGCCGCTCTGACGGCTTCTAATCCCCCTTTTTAACATAGACAGAACAAGACCCAGACTGAGGATCTCCAGCAAACAGAAGTAGCAGGCACTTAATGCTGTTTTAGTTTCCCTAGATTTATATTTATAAAACCCTCCTAATTGTGCCACATGATACTGGCTCTCCATTTTTAATAGTGATTATAAAGTCTCCTTTTAAAATAAATTCATTTCAGTGGAAGATTAAAAAGTTAGTTTATTTAGAGAGTACATAAATAACTGTACAAGTAGGAGAGTTATTCCATACTCTGAATTCCTAAAGGGCCAGGACCAAGATTTATCCACCTCTAATCTCTCTCCCAGAACCTTCCGTAGTACCTGGAACATAGTGGACACTCTACAAATACTCAATTAACTGGGAATTAATTCTTATCATAAATTCTGCGCTTGAGCCCTGGTTCTTCCTGGCACCGAAACCAACATCGGAGTAGATTTCCCCAGACAGATAGGAGATAAACCTGAATAGTCAGGAGCAAGAGCCAAGGAGGGAATAAACCCTGAGAAGGTTTATGAATAAAGAAGGAGCCCTGTCTGCCCACTGTGCCTCAGAAAGACAGGAGGAAGTCCAAACCAAAACGCAAAACTTAAAGCCCAGGAGCGAAGAACAAAGCCCCACAAACTCCACAGCTGCATTAACCTAAGCACAGCTGAAAAACTGCTTCCCAAACAGCCAAATGACAAATCGAGACACAGGCGCTCCTGTCAGGCCAGCTGTTCCCAAGAAGACACTAAATTCAAAACCAGAGAAAACTCTCTCACTACTAAAAAACTTATGCGGACAGGGAAATGTTATTCAAAGTTACACTAGATGATTTAAGGTCTTTGATAAAGAATTCTGAAAATTGTTTAGCAACATTTGGGGAACTTCAGAAATACTTAGAATGAAAAGAAAAGCAACTTTTAAACATTTGGCAGTATATCAAAATACAACTGCTTACATGTTCCTATAAAGGAGTTTCATATTGATGTGAAATACCTAAAAAGTTTATCTCTAGACATATTTGAAATATGAAATATGTCAGTCATCTAAATTTACAAAACAGAACATCAATAGAACTTTGATTCTCCTAAGTCTGGGATTACCAAGCATAAAATAGCAGTCTCCTTGGTGAAGAGGTATTGCCAAACCAGGTGTCTCGATGTCCCACGAGATCTTAAAACCAACATGCCAAGTGTCAGGATCTCTGCCTTCGAGATGAGAGTCGTCCTCACTTTCCTCTTCTGGACCTGTCCAAAGAGAAGAAAAGTGATCAAAACGCAAGTATGCGAACTTCTAGTTTTCACAAAAGTCATTTTTAAAATCATTTATATTTTACTATAATATGGATGCTGTACAGTCTCTTTTATTTCATTTAAAAAAAAATTCCAAGACATTTTTAGTTTATCACTTGTCATTTTCATCAGAAACCTTGTAAATAAAATGATGAGGCAACAACCTCATCAAGGAAGATAAAAGATGATTATTTTGTTCAGTTCAAGCAAATAAATTAGAAAATCTGAACTAAACAGTGTTTTAGAAAATTCTCAAATTTAATCCAAGAAGAGGGAGAAAAACTAACCACAGAAGACACACAGGAAGTTATCAAACAATTTTCTCTCAGGAAAATACAGGCCCAGAGAGTTTCTAAGAATTCTACTAAACGACTAAGGAAATAAGTAATTTCAACACACTTTGAATTGTGTTTGTTGTTGTTGCTGTTGTCTGAGACACAGTCTTGCTCTGTCACCCAGGCTAGAGTGCAGTGGCATCATCATAGCTCCCTAAAATTCCTGGCTCAAGCTATTCTCCTGCCCAGCAGGTAGGACTACAGGTATCCAGCATCACACCTAGCTAATTTTCCTATTTATTTGTAGAGATGGGATCTCATCTTGCTCAAGCTGGTCTCAAAGTCCTGAGCTCCCACCTTTGCCTCCTAGAATGTAAGATTACATGAGCCACCGTGCCCAGCCTAAGTTATTTAAAAGCATAGAAAAGTAAGTTTCTAAGTTCTTTTCATAAATAGAAAAATATGTATCAAAACCCATAAAGAAAATGCACCAGTCACAAACCAATCTCATATCTGAAAATCAACACCAAATTTCTAAATGTAATATAATGAAATAGAATCCAAATTGGCAGTATATGTTAAAAGAATAACATTCCATGACCAAGCAGATTATTCTGAGACTATAAAGATGGTTCAATATGCAAAAACTTATACTTGAAGTTCATCATATTCAAAAATCAAAACAAAACAAAAAAATCATGAGTCACCACTCTGGTGACACCAAAGTATTTGATAAATACAATATCTTTTCATGATAAAAACCTCAATGAAACAAGAATACATGGCAATTTCCTTAACATGATAAAAAATAGATCTGTCTCAACCCCAAATCCGGCATCATATTTTAATAGAGAAATACCAGAAACATTTGCAAAGTTAAGAATTAGAAAAAGATGTTCTTTATCACCACAATAATTCATCATTATTCTGGAGGGAATGGCCAACACAATGGTGCCCTCTATAGCTGTAACACAGCGCACTCCTTATTAGACAAAATAAGAGATAAAAACATTTTTAAGTGAGAAAAAACTCTTTTGCATATGATATGATCATTTATCTGCAAATAACCAGGAAAATACATCTCAAGCAGCAGGCAAATTAAGAAAATGCTGGCTACAGAATTAAATCACAGGAATTTAACAACTTACAAAAATACAAACAAATGCCCCACTTATAAAAGTATTTAGTAAGATTCTTACGCTCATATCTATATGAAGAAAAATTTTTAAATGCTACTGAAGGACACCAAAGAAAGTTTAAACAGACATCATGGAAATGTCAGTTCTCCCGACATTCATCTAGAAATTTGATGCAATCAGAATAAAAAGACCAATGGGATTTTTGTCCAATAGAGAGCTGATAACTAAAAAAGCTGCTTCTATAATACAAATACACATAGAAGTATAAACGAGTAAGAATTGCCAAGGAATGTTTTTCTTAATATATAAAGAGTTTCTATATATCAATAAGATACAGATCAAGAGACAATTTTTAAATTGGCAGAAGTAATAAAGAGACAGCCCATAAAAGGAAATAAAACCATCTTGTAAACACATAATAAGATATTCCAACTTATTCACATATAAGAAATACAAATGAAAGCCACAAGAGATCATTTTCACTATCAAATCAGAAAGGATTAAAAAGTGTGAAAGTGAAGGGTTCGGGTCTTGGTGTGTGCCACACCTTTTGGGGGCAAGACACAATTGTAAGCGGGTCTTTACCTAACAAATGCAATCAGTGTAACCTGGTTTCTTGTGCCCTCAATGAATCCCCAACAACTAAAAAAAAAAGTATGAAAAAATACAATGTGGGTAAGAGTGTAGCAAAATGACATTCTCCCACTCTGTGTAGAGGATTATTTTAAAATGGTGTCAAAACTACCAATGTATATACCCTTTTACCCTCACCGGAATTCCACTGTTAGGAATATACTAGAATTCTTAATTCCAGGGGTTGCAAGATGACTGTTCAGCAAGAGGATTTATTATAGTACTATTTAAAATTTTTAAGCACTATTTTAAAATAACTCAAAAATTCACCACTAAGTTTCTGGTTAAATAAATTATAACATGGACAGGCAAGGAAATCCTATGTAGCCACTAACAATAACACGAATATATACTAACATGAAACTAAGTAATATATTGTGTGGAGGGAAAAAAACTAATAGACTATACTTTATAAAAAACATAAAGTACATATAACATGTGGAGAAGGACACCCAAGACTGATTTTTCAGCCAGGTGTGGTGAGGTGCTCAGGAGGCTGAGGTGGGAGGATTGCAGGAGCCCAGGGGTTTGAGGCTGCAGTGAGCTATGATCGTGTCACACACACTACACTATGCTGGCCTCAGTAACAGGGCAAAACCTCATCTCTTAAAAAAAATAGAGACTGATTTTGGGGAGTACAAGAATGGAAGAGATAAATAAAGGAAGTGGAAGGCACACACTACAATTTGCCTACAATCACAGGCCTGAAGGAATAACCCCACATCAAAATGATTAGAAGTTCATTTAAGGCCACGTGCGGTGGCTCACACCTATAATCCTAGCACTCTGGGAGGCTGAGGTGGGTGGGTTGCCTGAGCTCAGGAGACCAGCCTGAGCAAGAGTGAGACCCCCATCTCGACTAAAAATAGAAAAACTAATGAGGTGTAATGGTGGGTGCCTGCAGGCCCAGCTATTCAAGAGGCTGAAGCAAGAGGATTGCTTGAGCCTAAGAGTTTGAGGTTGCTGTGAGCTATTATGATGCCACAGCACTCTGCCCAGGGTGATAGAGTGAGACTGTATCTCAAAAAAAAAAGATAATTTAAGTATTTAATGAGCATTTTTTAATATAATATGCCCATAAAGTTCGTGTGCAATTTAAATTATTTTAAATTGCACACGAACTTTATGGCCATCCTTTTATATACTGGGCGTTGTGCCAGACACCTGGGACATATCAGTTACTCAAACAATAGCCACGCCCCCGCAACGCTGTCCTGCTAGTCAAACTGTAAAGGTTCATGGCTGATTATGGTAAAGGGGTCATTTTAAATTAAAATCCTATCAAGCTGCAAACTGGGGCTCTTTAAAGGCTGGGTTCGTTTCTCTATTTTATTCACACTTAGAGCCCTGGCGACTGGCACACAGAAGGCATTCAATATACATTTGTACTAAATGGCTTGTTTAAAATGATGTTATTTAGTCACATCATTCAGAGTTTTTACTACTGGGCTAGATGGCAGGGAAAGAAAATGCTAATTTGGAAAAAAAAACAAACCAAAAACACCTCAAATTATCCCAAGAGTGGTAAACGCTCTTGGGAAACAATCCACGTGCCCAGCATCCCAGGAAGAGATTAACTGTGGCACATGTACACCATGGAATACTATTCAGCCGTAAGAAATGATGGAGACTTTACAACTTTAATGTTTACTTAAATGGAGTTGGAGCACATGCTTCTTAGTAAAGGATCTCAAGAATGTGGGGGGAAGTACCCAATATACTCCATACTAATATGAAACCAATGTATAAACAACGACAAGCTCATACGAACAAGAAAACACAAATATAGTCTGGGACGGGGGAGGAAGACAAGGTGGAGGGAGAGGGCAATAGGCGGGAGGGATCTCACCTGGTGTTCCACACCCTGGAAGTGAGAACAACATAACCTCATACTAATTTCAAAAAGAAAAAATAGAGTTCGAATTAAACCAAAGAACAAAGAATACAGCGTACCTAGTACAGCCTCCATAGTGAAGAAGTTTAGAGAAGGGAGAGGCTGGAGGAAGGCTGAGCAGTTTGAGCAGAATTCTTAGAGAAGGTCCAACTCAAAAGACAATAGTGTTTGGACCGACGGAGGGTAAAGTAAGAAGAAAGAGGGGAGACGCCGGGCATCTTCTCACACGGATGCCGGGAGAAACGAGGGAGGACAAAAAGCTTAATGTGATCAAAATGGACAATGGAGTACGTTTTACTGAGGCTGCCTCACGTACACATCACCTAAGCAATTCAAAATTACAAGCACCCGGATGGCACATACTCATGTACGCACATCCTTGCGTACAGTAAGATCATGAACACTGTACTCTACAGCAACTGCACACAAGGGCCAAAGGCTGAAAATAAAGGGGAAAAAGCAACTCCTCTTTGTAACTATTCAGCTGCGTAGCTTTGCACTAGGTAGGGTGAAAAGGAATAACTAGACGCCCATGCTCAGGGTCTTTGCAAGGACGGGATGCTGCCAAATGACCTTCAAGGTC